TAAAACTTCTGTCTTTCACTTCATATATCATATATATTCTTCCCATGTCATTAAGTATTTCTTAATAATGCAATTTTTGGCAGCAGAACAGTAGCCATAGTATGTATGTATTATTTAACTACTCCCCTATTGTTGGATACCTAGATTATTTCCAATTTCATATATAAACATATATTTATATATTTCCTAGAAGGAGAATTATCTATCATTTTCAAGATTATTTATATCTTTTTTTTCATATTTATTGTCCAGTTATCCTCCACAAAAATTGTACAGACACAACCAATAATAATGTATAGAATTAAAAGCATGAAGAATTGACATTGGAGCTAGCACTATTTTCACACATTTCATGTATAAATCAATGCCTGAAAGATTATTTCCTTGTGACCCAGGCACAGTTCCTTGGGGTATTCACTGCCTGTATCCCACAGCCTACTGCCATTACTGTTTGTCATAACAGGAATAGCAATTGGCTCAAAACACTGATCATTATGATGCTGATGATGTGGCCTCCCTAAGGTTCTAAATGATTGTTTGGTGTAACTGCTCAGTACAGGATTTTTCTTTTAACCTTTCCTATCATGTTGAGAGTCAGAATTCAAATTCTGTACAGTTTAAGCTTCATTATGCCTGGCCTATAACTTGGCTCAAGGTATCTGAATTTATGTCAATTTTATCTGCTTATTATACTAACGAGGTGGAGAAAGCAATCCCAGTGCCCCCCAAAAGGTAAAACTCTACTGGCTTTGTATATTACTAGAGTTTTAAAATTAGGTTAGATAAATTATGGTACATTTAGGAATAAGTGTACAGTGGGAGCTTTATGAAATATTTCATGAATAACAAATTGGAATACAAAGTTAAGTATAAAATTTACTTAAGAACTAAGGGTCAGGCTGGGGATATAGCTCGGTTGGTAGAGTCCTTGCCTTGCATGCACAAGGCCCTGGGTTTGATCCCCAGCACCACATACACACACACACACACACACACACAAAAAAAAAAAGGAACTAAGGCTAAGGGTAGCAGACAATACAAAAATAGAATATTAAGTTATTTTCTAATTTAGGCCTCATTTTAGTTTATTAAAAAATGAAGTATATTAAATTAAGTATTTAAAATTACATGTTACATTTTGATCGCAAAGGAAATGAAAAGAGCAGCTTTTCTCCTATCTTCATCTTCTGAATCAAAATGGTTGAATTCTGACTAATCTCAATTGCAGGTTCTATTTATTGTGTTATTTTCTCAATGACTTTTGTTTCATGTGTGGTTTCCAGTGGCTATTATTATTATTATTATTTTGGTTGTTGTCTTTTTTTGGTACCTGGGATTGAAGCCAGGGGCACTTTGAGCCACTTTTCTAGTTCTTTTTATTTTTTATTTTTTTAATTGAGACTGAGTTTTACTAAATTGCTTCAGGTCTTGCTAATTTGCTGAGGCTGGCTTTGAACTTGTGATCCTCCTGCCTCTGCCTCCCAAGTTTCTGGGATCATGGGGATGTAGTACCACGGCCAGCTTTGAGTGTTTGTTATTAATGAAAAAAATTAAAAAGATTAAAGATGTAAAATGTTTTAGAGGACAGTAATTATCTTCTACATTTCCTCTGATTCAGATTCTTACAGGGGATGACAGTCAAGGCATGTAAAATTCACTTTTAGTTCCAGAGAAGAGTCTACTTCCTTATCAAAAATTGCTTTTGTTTTTTCGGTGGCTCAGTATCACTGTGTAATTTGATTCTATGTACAGAAATGGAATTTTCTGTGCATATTCTCTCCAAGTGAATGAAATTTAGTAGGCTGTGATATTCCAGATCTCTTAACTTCAAGCTCTCCCTGATGTTTATCAAACATCAGGGAGACTATTGAAAATTCTTTTACGGTGTCTTGGTGTGAACATTGTCCTGGTGCTAGTTTCAAGCTTGCCTCATCTCATCATTCAGAAGCTACATATCTATTTTTTTCCACTGCCTCCTTCAAGTCCACCCCCCCACCCCGCCCCCATGGCTGGATGCCTGTCCAGCCCCCACACATTCAGGCACATTTATTCCCGTAAAGATAGTGACACTTATGGTTTATTCTAAGACTAAATCTGTGTTGCCCAGCGAGTGACTAAGGACTTAAGCATGCACACTGCTTCTTCGCTTACCCTCCCACCTAACTTGACTACTCAACATTTTTATTTCTTTCCCTCAGAATCCCCTCTTTTGGCACAGTTCAGTTAACACACTACTGCCAGGCCACTAATTGATTTCTGAAACCTGACATTTGTTTTTTGTTTTCTCCCATCTTCCCTAATGGTACAGCACTACTAAGTAGGAAGGAATGCAAAGAACTAGAAAGTTCAAAGTAATTGAGGATCTGTCCATTCACACTGTCTGGCTTTGTGCCAATGGAGAACCTGGAACATTTGAAAAATATTTATCAAGTTTTAACCCTTTTTTGCTAAGTTGGTGAAACAGGTTTGCAGCTGTAGCATTTCTGTTAAGAGCAATAGCAAGGAAGCTTGGTTGAACATGTTCTTTATATGTCCAGAACCACATGGCAAATGTCTCAGAAAAGGATTACTTTCCAATTTCCGTACTATTGTACAGGGCTAAGCTAGTTATTTTCTGTGAGATTGCAGAGCCTGGGTATTTCAGAGAAACCATTACTTAAAAGTGGCAACCCTATTTTATGAATCTTTATGCCAGAAATGAAATTTAAATGAATGTTACTATATTGGAGCAAAAAAAAGAATACATTTCAATTTTTAATACATGTAAATGCATTAGCTATGCAAACCTAACCACAGCCAGGTTCATATCTATTCATTAAGAAAAGTGGAAATGTAAAAAAAATTAACAAGATTATAAAATATGGTTATTAAAAGCTTATCAAATAATCAAGTGGGGTTTTTCTGTTTTGTTTTGTTTTGGAATTGAAAACTTTTGTGAATGAAAGCATGCAAAAAAATGGCGTGATATTTAGAAATATTTCCAGTAAAATAGTGGATCTTATTGTAGTCAAAACTTGGGGGAAAATAACAGGCCACTGAAGCGCTGGTGAAAAGACTCTTAAGGGGAAAAGTCTAGGTATATTTAAAAGCAAATTAAAATACAGATAGATATATAGTTGAAGTAACTGTGTTAGATTCAGCTTCAAGTTAAAAGAGCACCAAATTCTTAAGAATTGTCTGTCACATGATCAGATTTGATCATACTATCATCTTAACTGATCATACTATCAGCATTAACTAAAATTTTTCAAAGATCAATTTTAAAACTGTATTAAATCCCATATCACTTCTATCACCTGTTTTTAAACCATTTAATTACATGATTGGGTTTAACATAAGAGGAAAATAGGACAGCTTTTTAAAGATGAAGGTAGACGTCTAGCATAAAATTACTTAGAAAAAAATTTTGCAAAAACACTTACTAAATAATACTTTGGTAGCATGAAAGTAGTCATGAGCCATTCTCTTAAAGCAGCGATCACTGCTGTAAAGATGAATCATGTCCTAACAGGAAGGGAAGGAAAAGGAGAAAAAAAAAATTAGTTTACAGCGTAATTTTATCTTTTCCAAAATAAATACCTAATATTTATATACATATTAATTTATCTGCATATTTTAAATGGATCCCTGCTTTTGATAGAGACCCTTAGAAAAAAGTGAACTTTTTTCTAAGAACTTTTGAAAAAGCTGTTTAACTGTGAAGTGTGGTGAGTAGGCTGTTGTATTTGAACAATTCTCTAATGGTATAGTGTGCTGTCAACATATGTACATATGTAGTAATATTACAGGCATTTTTATTGCAGTTTATTGTTCCGGCTTCCCAATAAGCCAGATAAAATCATGTACAAGAACATTAAGGATTAAGGGAAGTGGTTTCCTTTGGTGATTGCTGGCAAAAATTCACCCTCCCATTATAACAATGTAGTAAATGGACGGTAATATATTTGGCTATTACTTTCCTAAAAAAATTGTATTCCCAGTTTTCAGAGCTGCTTCGTGCCTAACGTTTGAGGCTTCTTTGGTTGTCCTTTCGTAGGAAAAGGTGCCACGGCATTAGGTAAATTTGCTGTTTCTGTTCTGTAAATATTAAACTCCCCCCCCCACATACAGTGCTAGCAAAAATAAGTCAAAGATGTAATGTCTATTTAAACACACATTTGAGCTAGTTGTTAGCGCTTAAATTAGAGTCCAGGCTTTGGCTAGAATCAACATAGTTTAAATATTAAAAACCTCAAAATTCATATGGCCCACCCCTGCCTGCTCTCTACACAGGAATAAGAGGTAGAAATGTGTGTGAAAACTACTTCCAGCTATTTAAATACCGAAGTGGCAGCGGGGGTTGGGGGTAGGCTTGTATGCAAGGACTTTAAAAAATGCTTGTCACTAAACCTTTTACTCAGGACATACCGGATTTGCTTTGCTAAATAGATATCCTCACGGATAAAGAGACAAGAGCGGTTTCAAAAATTTATCATACCGCCCCTAGTTTTCTGTTAAAGAAAAGTACATTTTTTGTGTATTTAAAAATACATACTCATTAAACAAGTCGCTGAAAACCTTAGCGCCCCCACCTAGCTGCTTTCTGGATTTCAGTTTTTTGAGTTTCAGGTCCTTGCACAACACCTAAGACGTGCAATACTCTTTTTCTGCCTAATCCTGGCAGAGAACAGTCCGTAGAGATCTCCCTCCGCGTCTCCACCCTAATTCCCTCTCTTCCTAGATTCCACCCGCTCCTCTCCTTTCCTCCGCCCCCGGCTCCGCCAGCTCAATCTGTCAGAGAAGTTGTGTACAAACTGCGCGGCCGCCCTGCGCGCGAAGCTCGTGGCCCAAGGGGTGCGGTCGGCCCAGTGGAGGCGGGGCCCTGGGTGAATTTCTCTCTTTTCATAGGCTGGCCGATCCGGCCCGGCCGGCGACGGAGTCTTAGGATTCGCGGCAGCGCTGTCAGTCAGACTCGCAGAGCCCGCCTACCCAGAGTTGGGTGAAATAGAGGCGGGCGTCAAGTGTCAGTAGTCGCGGGGCAGGTACGCGCGCTCGCAGCTCGCTCTTGGAGATCGACGGTGGCGGGAGCGGGCTCCAGCGACTGAGAGAGCGCGGTGGGGCGGGGCGGGAGAAAGTGGCTGCCTGGAGGACATTGGCGTTTACGCGTGGCAGAGCGGAAGAGTTTTGCTTTTCGTGGGCGCCTTCGAAAACTGTGCCTGCTGTTGACCGAGGGGTCTGCCCGGAGCCTCCCCTCCTCCGCCCGCGGCCCCGCGCCGAGCTCGCCGGCCCGAGCCAACGTGGGCCAGGTGGGAAACGCGCCTGACCCACGTACTGCAGCCGGAGCCGCTCCCCGAGTGTCCATGGCTACGCGGGTGCTGACCATGAGCGCCCGCCTGGGACCTGTGCCCCAGCCGCCGGCCCCGCAAGACGAGCCCGTGTTCGCGCAGCTCAAGCCGGTGCTGGGCGCCGCGAACCCAGCCCGCGATGCGGCGCTCTTCCCGGGCGAGGAGCTGAAGCACCCTCACCACCACCCACAGGCGCAGCCAGCGCCTCCGCAGCCCCCGCAGCCGGCGCCGCCTCCCGCCGCCGGCCCGCGGCTGCCTCCAGAGGAGCTGGTCCAGGTAGGAAGAGCCGCTCCCCTCCCTCCGCCTCCTTCTCGGGGCTCGGGCGTGTCCCGCTGCTGCGACGCGCAGGCGACAGGGGCCGCTCCAGGCTGGGGCGTGCGTCGGGGCGCACCGGGAGCTGGTGGTGGGGTGGGCAGCCCCTTTCTGCCCCTGTAGCCTGGGCACAGCATTACGTAGGGAGTAAATGGGGGACCTGGGAGAGGGGAGTCCGAGATGAATCTCCCCTGGCCCTGGCGGGTCAGCCGGGAAGAGGTTAAAGAGGGAATTGGGTGCTCTCGCGCACCTTGTTTTTCCTACGTGTGGTGGATGAAACCTTGTACCTCACGCTCCACTTTAAATTACTCCTTCACCTTTACCCCTCCCACCCGATGCCTTGGAGGTCCACCTCTCCTCCTCGTCTGGGGTTAAGTAGAAACGCAGTTTGGGGTAAAGCTTCCCCGGGGTTTCAAACCTTGGGGCTCACTCTCCTTGCTTTAGAAGCGATTGTGGGTGGCTGAGTTTGGAAAACAAGAGGATAACTAAGGTTGTATTGGAGCGCGTATTTTTCCCGAAAAAGAAAGGAAAAAAAAAAAAAGCCGGGGGTGTTGTTTTCTACTTGTGCGCGTAAATTTCCTCCCGGAGCCGTGTTGAAAGCTGGCAGTTGGCTTTTACACTTGCCCAGCAGCCGAATTAGAGCAACCGCCTGTTTCTTTCGCCCACGCACGGAGTCATATAGCCCAGAAAAAACTTCACGGGACTTTTAGCTTGTCCCAAGGAAAAAAAAAAATTGGAAACATACCCACATGCAAACAGCTGGAAGAGCTAAAATCAGAAACCACTAACCGCCACGGAGCGCAGTGCACGAAAGGGTTTAGTTCGGTTTATTTCAAGACACTTCGTTTAATAACCCCTTGGTAGAAGTGTGTATTTGCTACCCAGCGCCTTGCCTACTCTAGTGGTGGTGGTGGGGGTCAGTGTCGCCGTGATTTGAGAGGACAGTGGCATTTGTCAAAGATGTGATTCGCATGACTACAGCGCTGATTTTTATTTTTAAATCGGGTCTATCCGGGGAATCCCGTCCTCATCCACACCGTATGATCCGAATGCTTTGGCGGTCCAAAATGAAATGCTTTTGAAATTTACTAGCAAAATATGACTGGGTTATTCACCCATTATGGTGCCGTGGTTCATAGTTATATGAACCATTCCACCTAATTGGGTTTTGCTTTTCTTTTGAAATTTCCTTTTCAATGTTAAAAATTAAAAGAGAATTTAAGCTTATGTTCTGCTAGGAGAGAAGATAGCTGTAAAAAGATTGAGGTGATTTGTCCTTGGGGGGAAAAAAATCACCGATTGAGAACTATTTGGTTATTGGTTATTTCAATTTGGCTTTTTTACTTTTTTATTTTTATTTTACTTAGGAGACACCGAGAGGATAAGGGATGATGGAGATTTTTTTTTTTACAGAGTAGGGGGGAATGTAGCATTGGCCCACTGAGAAGGACATGATAAATGTTTTGCTGATGACTGTGCTTCGACACAGCAGCCTCTCCCCACCCACGGGCTTCTTAGCACCAGTCTACCAAGGGAGTGATTTTCCCTTAGGTAATTAAAGATCTGTTTTAGATAGGCATATGAATAGGAACATTTCATTATCATATTAACCAATTACCGAATCTGCTGATTAAAATCAACATTTAGATCAAATGTTGAAGGTGAAATCTGTGATAGTGGATACTACGCTTTGCTTAAAACATTGTATTTAAGTTTTCATTGAACAATAAATAAAAAGCCACTGAAATAGCCAACGAATGTTTTATATTAGATATATTGGAAATGTCTAGTCAAGCAAAAAAGTTTTTTTTGCAGAGTTGATTTAAGGGTTTGCATTTTTTTTTGTTGTTTAAATAAAACATGTAAAATATAACTATGTAGCATAGACAGAATTGAGGTAGCTAGGCAGTACTTTGATATAGTACTTTAATTGTAAATTGTAATGGTCAGGGAATCGGGAGTGATACTATTATTGCATCAGAAAGGAATATATTTCTGTTTGCTTTTTTTCTTGATTTGCCTCTTTCACTTTTTTTTTGAGCGATTTTACTAAAGACATTTCAAAGACTTGTAAGCTTTAGTGTAAATCAGTAATTATACAATTGGCAAAACAAACCTGGTATGTTTATAAGCAATACTTATACTAGTATACTAGTAATACTAGCAAACTTGCCCTAGTATTTTACAGAGGGATGTGTGTGTGTGTGTGTGTAGGTGAGGGGGACAGTAGTAAGCACCATTTTGGTCCTTCCTGAGATGAATCGGGTGGATTATGCATGTTTGTTTCTTTTCTTTTTTAGACAAGATGTGAAATGGAGAAGTATCTGACACCTCAGCTTCCTCCAGTTCCAATTATTCCAGAGCATAAAAAGTATAGACGAGACAGTGCCTCAGTCGTAGACCAGTTCTTCACTGACAGTGAAGGGTTACCTTACAGCATCAACATGAACGTCTTCCTCCCTGACATCACCCACCTGAGAACTGGCCTCTACAAATCCCAGAGACCGTGCGTAACATACATCAAGACAGAACCTGTTACCATTTTCAGCCACCAAAGTGAAACGACTGCCCCTCCTCCTCCTCCTCCGGCCCCAACCCAGGCCCTCCCTGAGTTCACCAGTATATTCAGCTCCCACCAGACCTCAGCTCCAGAGGTGAATAATATTTTCATCAAACAAGAACTTACTACACCAGATCTTCATCTTTCTGTCCCTCCCCAGCAGGGCCACCTGTACCAGCTACTGAATACACCGGATCTAGACATGCCCAGTTCTACAAACCAGACAGCAGTAATGGACACCCTCAATGTTTCTATGTCAGCCGCCATGGCAGGCCTTGACACACACACCTCTGCTGTTCCGCAGACTTCAATGAAACAATTCCAGGGCATGCCCCCTTGCACATACACTATGCCAAGTCAGTTTCTTCCACAGCAGGCCACTTACTTTCCCCCATCACCACCAAGCTCAGAGCCTGGAAGTCCCGATAGACAAGCAGAGATGCTCCAGAATTTAACCCCACCTCCATCCTATGCTGCTACAATCGCTTCCAAACTGGCAATTCACAATCCAAATTTACCTGCCACTCTGCCAGTTAATACGCAAAATATCCAACCTGTCAGATACAACAGAAGGAGTAACCCCGATCTGGAGAAACGCCGCATCCACTACTGCGATTATCCTGGTATGTGATCTTACTTGGTTGAAGCATTGAGAGAAAGAGAGAGAGAGAGAGAGTGTGTGTGTGTGTGTGTGTGTGTGTGTGTGTGTATACACATATCCTTTTCATCCCTGGGCTTTAAGTTTACATAGAAAAGTTCTACTTGACAGTTAAGAAAAAAAATCATATACATTTGTTATCTTCATATTCTATTTCTGTGCTTTACCTTGGTGTGTAACCAAGTAGTTTTCTATGGTGTATTTTATTGTATTTATTTATTCACTTTTGTTTTGCAGTACTTGGGATTGAACTCTGGGGCGCTCTACCACTAAGTCACATCCCCAAGGCCCCTCTCTCCTTTTTCTAACATTTTATTTTGAGATAGGGTTTTGCTTGAATTTCCCAGGCTGACCTCAAACCTGGGATTCTCCTGCCTCAGCCTCCCAAATTGCTGGGATTCTAGGCATGTTTCATTGTGCCCAGTTTTATTTTCTATATTAAAAAAAGAAAAATTGGCTACAACATTTCTGGGAAAAAGTTACCTTATGTACCCTTTTCTATTAATTTTTTTTAAAATTTCATTTAGGATTATAGTATTAAAATCTAAATTAACTTCCCTGGAAAGAGTAGGGTAGGAGAAAATAATATGTTGGCTCAAAGGTACCTAACTTACTGCTGGTACAAGACTATATAAGGGATACATTTAAGGATGGTTCTGATGGGCCATGCATCTCATTCAAGAATGAGCACATGCTAAAGTATAAATTCATGACAGTAATGAATGTATCTCCCAAGTTGCTGGTGTAAGCTAGTTTATGATTAATATGGGGCATGATTTATTGACTGTGGTGCATGATATGCCATGACATGCTAAATGAAAAAAAAACAAGAAATGTTAGGAGTACAGAAAATTATAGTCATCTTGGATAATGGTTTAGCTATGTCAGCTCTACAACCATTAAAATTTTTTTTAAAAAACATACTATAGTAGCTATTAAATCACTAAAATGTGTATTGCTAGTAAAAATTACCTATTGGAATATAAACACAAGTTTTCCATTTGTCATTTACCTGTGTTCTTTCCTACTAAAGTGATACAAAAAAAATTTACTTTATTTCTTTAATGAGGTAGTGGGGGGAGGGCTCCTTGAGATTTAAAACTGAAGCTTCAAATATTTTATCTAGCATGAGAGAGTTCTTTCAAGGCAGAATTTAAATACTGAATCATCAAATGTAAGGATTTCAAAAGGTCGCCGGAATGACAAGCTGTTCTTCCTCTGCTCCTTTATTTTAGGTTGCACAAAAGTTTATACGAAGTCTTCTCATTTAAAAGCTCACCTGAGGACTCATACTGGTATGTAATTTTCTTGTTAATTCCTTAAGTTGTGTAAATAGTGTAAGTGGTATTCATCCTTTTAAAAGCCAACACGTGTTTGATCTCTTCTTTCTTCTGTCAACTTTTATTTTTTAATGGCCTGCCTTTTCAGCACTAGCTTGGCTCAAAATTCAGTTCCATGAGGATGTCTGGTTCCAGGAAAGCTGATGCTCACTCACAAAGGCCTTGCCCTGTCACTTCCATAGAATTAATTACCCAAAAACATAAACAACAATGTTTACTAATGGGTTTTAAAACGTTTAATGGCAGCGCTGTTCATGTCTTGAAGGAAAGAAATTTCTCTCTCTCTCCGTGGCAAATCAGTTTGCTTTAAATAAAGCCCTTTTAAACCATCAAAACTTTGCCATTTAGCAAGTACAGCATTGCAGCTTAATACAAGGTCCCTGTTAAGCTTAAAATATTTGTGTTGAGTGTGTTTGCTGTGTTTGATGAAAGATAGGCCTGAAGTTGCAGAGTTTTCAGACTGGTCAAAAATAGAGTTATGGTTTAAAGTTATTCTACACCTTACACACCACCCCGACATTTGATATGTTTGAGACATCATCTTTATTCTAGCTTATATTTCATCCTCATTTAAAACATGCTGTTAAGCTTAGCCCCTTCAATTTTGTAAGTTTTTGTTTTATTAAATTTATAGCAATAACTTTTAGGAGGTTTTTAATTTAAAAATTTTATATCAGAACCCAGTTTTAAGATGAAACTAGGTGGCATACTTTATTAAAGGGCTCTGCGTACCCATAATATTTTCAAATATATGGATGGTTACTATTTGTAATTTTCTTTAAGAATAGCCCTAAAGGAAAGAACTCTTAAAGTGATTATACTTTTTTTTCCTCAATAAATACAGCCTTACCTAAAGTTCAAAGAATAAGTTTGCTAATAAAAGCAGTGACCTAGCAAAATGTATTATTCCATCATTGCTATGGAAACCAAAGTATTCAACAGTTCCTTTGAATGGGTCGTTGGATTAGTGTGAGGACTTGAATCTCCCCAGGCTAGATGTTACTATGGAAATTGAGTTTTGATAAATGAAGTAGTTATCTCTAACTGCTGCATTAAAAAGTAAAAGCCTTTGAACAAAGGTCAGTGCTGAGATATAGCCACGAGAGGAATATGGTTGCAAACAGTTTGTGTGCATGTTAGGGAAGTACTGCTTGATATCTCAATGATAAAAATCTAGTTATTAAAATCCAAATAGTATTGATGACAATGTGGTAGATACCAGGGCTTTCTGAGAAACTGCTTTAAAAAAAAAAAAAGACACTTGAACTTATCTATGAAATAAATGAGTTGTTTTGGCCCGAGGTTTTTAAAGGCAGACAAATTGATTATATAAAAGGAAAGAACCTTCATAAACAATCTAAGGTGAAAATTATGTTTACAGTTAAGTGTCCACAAAAGAATTAAGCATATAAAGAAGATGTCAACCTAAACTCTTCAAAATACAGATGACAAGTGCCAGGAAAATATTCAGTATAAAATATCCTTTTACAGACTATATGCTCTGTTAAGGAAATGTTTAACACAGGGTTTTACCTGACGTTTTGATTAAGAAGAGGTGGGAATAACTTAGAAACATTTGAACTGTTGCTTTTTTTCTCTTGGAAGTCCTTGAAACTGGAGATAGGAAGGAGGGAATACATTTTCATGGGGTTAAAGTCCCCTAATAAAGGAAGAATATAATCACATATAACGATGTAATCAACTGCTTATTGCAGGGATGTAGTCAGGCCATATCTAAATAGCCTTTCAACCCCTGTCAGGGTTTAGTGCTCTGAATGCTTGTACCTAGGATTCTGGAACTTGACCTGCTGGCAAAGAAATTTAATAGTGGGTTGTCTTAACAATGCTTGCCCTAATAAAAACAAACTAAAAAGAGGACCTAGGCCTAGTTTGGGTCCCATGCATCAACTTTTTTCACCTGATCATAAACATTGTGGCCTTCAACATCTAATGAGTAAGACCCTGTAATCCAGTTTAATAAAGTTTTGTTTGATAGTCTTTCAAATGCCTGGGGGAGGGTTTTACCAGACTAGTTCATCTGGCTAAACCCGTTCTTGGGTAATCATAGAGCATTGAGGTTGTTTTCTCCTCATTTCTCGTTTCTAGACAATGCCTTTTAAAATTACCTGTGTGCTCTCATTGCATCCCCCCACCCAACCAGTTGTTTTTCAGTGAATGTATCTGGACCCAGCAGAGGCTTGTGTTTTTGCCCCCCCCTTTCCCTTTTAAGGCCCTGGTAGATGAAATAGGTTTTGTTTATTTTTCCCCTCTAAATAACTTCCCTCATTTAAAAGCTTGTTAGGTTTTCTTTCTGTGTCCCTTGCTTCCACATAGGCAATTTATTAGGGAACTTTGAAACCTATATGGTAATGTTGGTCTGTGTTTGATGACATAATAGAAATTATTGTTTAAATGGTTGCTGTTTTGCAGGCAGAATGCAAAGTACCCTAGCATTTCTTTGGAGAAATAATTGTAATTGCTTTAAAATGTCAAGTTACTGTATGTTTTTAAAATGATTTAAGCAATTAAAGCAATCTGCATCTGGGTTCTGTTTAGTTACTTATTTTGGACTTTTAGATTATAAATGATTTTTTAACTTGGGTTGCAAATTGAACTTGAGCAAAGAGTGTTTCCAAATCAGATTTTTTTTCCCCCATAATTTGGGATGAAAGAGTAAAAGATAAACCTGCTTCTTGAATCACAAATACCATAACATTCAAGTTCAAGTTCATGCGCTTTGATTTCTTTATTAGGAAACCATACTTAAATAGTACAAAGTTCCATCTTGTTTGTGTGGTCAAACAAAATACCTGAAATAGAATTTGCCTTTATTCTAGGGAACCATTATATTTCATTGATACCCATATATACATAAGACAGCATAATAACAGGCCTATAGAGACATTCTTTGTGTGAGTAAGTAGGTGTTTGTGTACGTATACGTGGTTATCATGCTTCTGGTTAGAAATAGTTATGGCTGCTTCTAGGCAACAGTGTCAATAAGTAGTGTGTTTCCCAATCTAAATATTTGTACTTTTAACAGTAAAGTGAACATTCTGCACAAATTTGTATGCCTTATGATATATACAAGGGGCTATTCCTATTGCTATCATTCTAAATTTGCTCCCAAGCACCTTTAAAAAAAAAAAAGATTTCACATATCCATCAGTCCTTCTAAGTCACTGTGACTGATAAAGTATCTTATTCAAAGAGCTTGTAGTTTGGGGTTTTTTGTTTTGTTTTGGCACTAGAGAGCAAACTGAGGGACCTCATGCATGCTGGGGAAAAGCATGCTAACCACTGAGCTGCCTCAGCCCCTTTTGCTTAATTTCATCATGAAATTTAAGATTACTTTTCAGCCTCACCGCTCTGGGACAGGGCAGAAGATTAGCAGTTGTACAGAGAAAACTCTTTGAGGTACACACACCCTTAGTGCAAGCATCACTCAGACCAGGACTGGTTCCACAGACTGACAGAGGAAAGGACGATTTGACACACTCGTACAGGAGAAAATGAAACTTATAAATAGCATAGGAACACAAAATATGGACTCTTCAGTGCTTGTTCAAGATTCTTTGTTTAAGAAAGAATTCTACATTAGGTCTTGGAAGCCCAAACCTCCTTGTAAAGGGAGTCAATTCCTATGTTCTTTCTTGCTTTACTTTTCTTTCTTTCTTCCTCTCTTTCTTTTTGTGCTGGGGATTGAACCCAGGGGTACTTTACCACTGAGCCACATCCCTACCCCTTTTTGTTTTTTCTTCTGAGACACAGAGTCTTACTAAGTTGCTTAGGGCTGGGTTGATTCTCCTGCCTCAGCCTCCTGGGTCACTGGGATTTCAGGTGTTGCCACTGTGCCCAGCTACTTCTTAATGATATTGATAAGTATATGTATATGTTTTAAAAAACACAATGTATTATGTTATATTGAAATATAATTTTTTGGTAGTGGGAATTAAACCCAGGGACACTTGAGAACTGAGCAACATCCCTAGCCCTTTTTATCTTTTATTTTGAGCCAGGGTCTTGCTAAATTGCTGAAAGTCTCACTCAATTGCTGAGGCTGGCTTTGAATTTGTGATCCTCCTGCCTCAGCCTCCAGAGTCTCTGGGATTAGAAGTCTGTATCACTATTCCCGGCTCTACTTGAAATTTGCATTTTAGCTTCTGGTAAAGTAGTAAAAGTCTTTAGATATAAATATCTGGTCTAGTACATGGCGCCAAAGTCATTATCCTATGACTATATTGGGTGTACATTTGATTTTTTTTTAAAGTATTGGTAATGTTGACAACAAAGGTGTTTTCAGTATAGGCACTACTCCATTGAAAGGAACATTATATTGTGAACATAAATTACTCTCTTTTTGGTAGAAAAGGAGTGAGAAAAGCTTTAAAAAAAAAAACTGTAGAGAGGATTTCATTTCAGGCCTTAATGAATGGAGAACATACAATTTGGATCCAGAATAGATCAGTATTAGTTAGATGTTTGATCTATTTCACTGGGAGAATTAGCATAGGGAAAATATTTCACATGATGAGATTTAGTGGCCAGTGATTTTATTTTAAATTATTTTTACAATTTTATTTTCACTTGCAGCTTTGAAATTTATTTTCTATATTGACAATTTCTGGCTTATTTAAAAAAAAAAAAAAGTTTGAGCCTTAAGAGACTTGCTGGTTCAGACCCTGAAGAGGTATTTATGAGAAAGCTTAGAAACAATTTCTTTTCAGTGACTCACTGGGAAGATTAAACTTTGCTTCTAGGACTTGTTCTTTCATCTGAAAAACATTTACATAGGAAGTTGATTAAACATTGTTTCAAGATGATAAAGCTTATCAAAGGTTAAGAAGAATAATTTGTTTCAGCAAACATTTGACCGATTTTTGTGGAGAATCCAGAATAATCTCTTCTTACCCTTTTTGTTTTTAAAGGAGTGAGAGAAGATAGTTCATAAGTAGATTAAATAGAATTGCTGAAATTGAGATAGAAACAGCCAGCTGTGTGCCGGTGAAAGAATGTAGAGCTGTTTTTTTGTTTTTGTTGTTGTTGCTGTTGTTGTTGATATATAGTTAGTGGCAGGATTTTTGTTTTTTAGTAATAATTTGATCACTCAAGCATTTTGCTTTGGCTGATATTTTTAGTTCTATAGAATGTAGTAGCTGTTTACTTGATGACCTACATCTTTTCTGGTGAAGAAACAAAGTAATGTCCTATTTGAGTCGAAGTATCTCTGGCAGCATTCCTGTTCTGGCAGCCTGTATTATTTACTTTAAAGGATCTCTAACAACTCCAATTAGTTACTGTTTTAGAAGTGCACAGTAGGTAACTTTTCTGAAAAAACATCTATGCAGAAGAACACATTAACTTGGCTACTTTATAAAAAGGCACACACCTTACATACCTTTAAGAGCAGGGAGGAATCCACTGGTCTGGGATAATTGTGTCAACTGCAAATGAAGGAAAAGATATCTGGTACTCATTCTGTGCTAGGGAAAATGAAAATACACGTTTATTTTCTATTCAGGTTTAAAAAAAGAAACAAAAGGTAAAATTATTTCGTAGAATCCTCACTTTTTGAAGTTACTTTGGGGTCTTATTACAAAGATTGTGAATATGAGTGTTATTGTTTTTGAGAAAAAGGAAAAAAGTTTCATTGCTTTGCTACCAAAGGAGAAACACAGGGTACTCCTGTCCCAAAGGCTGTGATTCTGCCCAACAGCTGGAATTAGGGGGCTTTTAAAGTGGGGATTCAAAGGCTGCAATTCTCAGATCTCTGTTCGAGTTGTAATTCACTTGTTAATTTGGAAGACAGTCATTTCTGAGATCTTCTGGTACCATCCCCAGAGTCTGGATTAATTCATTTCTCTGGTGGGTGTATACTCAAGGACAGGTAAATCTGCCTAAAATGGGGAAGAAAGGTAATCCTGTTTGTTTCCCTGAGGTTAGGGTTTGTGAGTTGTCTTTTTGTCAGGAGGCTCAAGAATTGTTATTTCAGTAACCCTAAAAATGACAGAGATGTTCTTCCTGGGATTTGAGGACCCTGAGAAGGTAGTAGTAGTTTAGGAGCCAGGAGACTGGTCCTGCTTGATAGGGACTGTGGATAACAAGAGTGAGTGTTCCCTTCCACTCCCTTCTTTTTTGCTGTGCTGCCCAGGCTGGCCTCAAACTCAGCTTTCCCCCAGCCTCAACCTCTTGAGTAGCTAGGGTTCCATGTGTGTATCATCTCATCCACTGCCTGGCCATATCCCTTCTTCCTGCCCCTCTAAAAGAGGAGACTCCTTGTTGCCCTTGACCAGCTCTAGGAGCCTCGGAACTTCTTGATTTTTCTCAGGTCTAGTCCAATTCTGTAAAAGAAAGTTTTATGTAGACTTTATCCCTGTACAGCTTCAAGGTGGATAAATGTTTTCTTCTGAAGAGACTCAAGCACGATTCTCACCTAAATATACATTTAGTCAGATTACCCTTGGTCACAGGCCAGGGCAAAGCCCAGCTTTTCTCTAATTTTGTAAAAAAGGAGAGAAAAACTGACAGCCTCACTCTGGCCTCCTTTACTTTCCCTCTTTTCATTATGAAAATAACTGCTAGTCAGAGTTTGGCCGAATGCATGATTGTTTCAGAGAGGCATTGGGAAAACTGTGGCATCACAGCAGAAGTAGAAGGGGTCTCTACCTCTGCAGAACTTAAAAAGCTGTTGAGAAGTCAGAACACAGATATTCGAAGCCTTCATAAAGCAATGTATGAGCAAGTGCAAATCAGTGATTCAAAAAAGAACACAAATTATTTTGTTTCCTAAAAGTAGGCCCATTGCTAATAGGGCACTACATCTATTAGATGCATTTAAAATGAACCTTTCTGTGTTCCAAGTGTAGGAGATCTGCAGTGAGCTCTAATAAGGAAAATTACTGACATAGGTACAATGTTTTCTGTTTTTTCCTTTTTATTATTAAAAGAAAATCTAATAATTGAGGCTGTTTCAGAGTCTCAATTTCCTAAGTCTGTGATGATGGGGGAAAAAATCTATTAAGTTTTTTTAGGCCAGAGACCATATCTTATTTGTGTTTTGCAAGGCATTTAGTATAGGCCATACTTTAATACATACTGTCTAATTCTGATGGTGTTCACTTTTATCTTTTTATAAAACTACCATTGATTAGATTTTTAATCATCAGGAAGGAAAGAGATTTTCAAATTTGCTGTAATAGACTTTTAAAAAAAAAGTTACCTAATGTACCTTTTCTAAGAAATATTTCCTTCTGTGATTTTTTTTTCTTTTGTTAAAAGAATCTATGTAGAACATTCTAGAGAAAGGCCTTAGTATGGGTCTATTGAATATGTTCAGCAGAGCAGAGAAACCTCCCATTCCATTGTGGTAGGTTCAAAAGTCTTTTTTTTTTTTTAATCTGTTCATCAGAGAGAAAAAAATAGATACTGTTTTAGTTTCTTGCTGGAGATTTTTTGAATACTTCACAAACATTCTGCTAAACCACTGAAATTCACCTAGTCTGGGAGAGAGGAATACTCATTAGAAATGCTTGGGGACTGCTGATACCATGCTGGAACCCATTTTTAGGACCCAAAAGGCCCAGAAAAGTGGGTCTTCATGGAGGGCTGGCCCTGTTAGGGTGTGCCGAGGCTTCAGACCATTTGAGTTTAAGGGCTGGTGGAAGTCCATTAAGCTATTCCTTACCCTTCATGAGTGGTTTCAGAATCTAAATAAATTTGAACAATATGTATATATTTCTTGCATCATTCAAAGAGAGTGTATTAGTGTTTGCTAATGGAAGATTTAAGTGGGACATTAAGAAAGAGTGGCAGGCCAGGATTCTTAATGTGGAAATGGGTTTGCTTCTAACTCCTGGGGTTGTTGCAAGGATTAAGGAAGGTAGTGAGAACCTAGCTCTGGAGGAGGTGCTAGTGGTTATCTGCTCCCTCTTCCCTTTTGTTGGTAACGTTTCTGCTTAACATTTTAATAAAATATCTTCATGACTTTATCAATATGGATAGTATGCATGTTCGGACATTTTTTTTTTTTCAAAAATTAGTGACTCTTAGCAAATTGTTCCTATAATAAGAAAATGCATACTTTATTTGAGATAAAATCAAAGTTTATTGTCCATGTTGTACAAATTTGTCAGTTTTTTTTTTTTTGCCTTTGGAAAGTTTCACATTAACAGCAGGAGAACTTAAAACTACAGTTGATGTTGAAAGAGCTTAACTAAATATTTTAAATTGGTGGTATTGGAAAGAGATTCTGTAAAAATCCAATTAAACTTTTGAAAGCTCTATCCTGTTGAAATATAACTTGAAGGAAGTCAGTTTGGTTTCCCAGAAGTACTGTGCATAGTGTTTCTGGCTGAGGAAGAAAGGCTCAAGTCTGCTGTTTGGCCAGAAATTGGGTACCAGCTTCCTCTACGATGTTTTGCTTGAACAGTGTTGACACTTGAACAAATCCCATAGAAACTGCCCCAAGTGGGGAATAGTTATCCTTGCTTTTATAGTAAGACTTGGCCCCAATAACGACTGTTCCAGACACTGGTAGTATTCTTGGCTGGATAATCTATAGATGTGTATAAATTGAGAGCAAAACCCCAAATGTTTTAGGAACTTGAATGGCTACTGTATTTTGACCAATCAGTAAAGTAAGTTTTAAAAAATATTGGTGCCGTTTATTGCTTTGTAGCCAATAAAAACAGTGAACAAAAAGAGTCTAGTGTCCCTTGTTTCTTAAATAAACTGAATTCACTTCTCCTGCTATTTAGTTATTAAATTCAAAAGACTAGAATGATTTCTTTTAAAATTAGGACTCTGTAAGAAGTTGTTGCCTTGCCTTAGACATCAGAAATGTTTTTGTTTAACCCAGTATGTTTGTTTCTGTGATTTGTTTTCATGAGGAACAAACCAAACACTTCAGTGCAAAGTTATTTCTTCTGTTTGATTTAAATCCACAAACAAGATAGTTGCACTTACCACTGGTACTAAAATGTTTCTGCATATCAAACAGTTATATGTGAATGTCAGCGAAAGGCGGGTGAATATGTTGCTGAAAAGTTTTGAGTGTATTATGCTTAAATTTCTAGTTGAAATTTACTGTGAGGCACTGGGGAATGAGAGTATCATACACCAATTTTAAAAGATGGAGGAAAAAGAATTTACTATGAGAAACAACATCCCAAATTGAGATGTATATTTTTTTTTTAAGAGAGAGTGAGAGTGGAAAGAGAGAGAGAGAGAGAATTTTTAATATTTATTTTTTAGTTATTGGCGGACACAACCTCTTTGTTGGTATGTGGTGCTGTGGATCGAACCCGGGCCGCACGCATGCCAGGCGAGCGCGCTACCGCTTGAGCCACATCCCCAGCCCAAGATGTATATTTTTTAAATGGGATGATAGGACCTGAGAAGGAAATTAAGTAAATAAGTGTGCATTAGGTCAGAACCAGAAGAGGGCGGGAAAGGTGGCTATGAATGCATACTGTAGGAAGCCAAGGTGAGATCTCATAAGAGTCAGTGGTTATTAGAACAGTTGAAATACATTAACTTCACAAGCTGTAGAAACCTCATCATATGTGGATGATTTTTTTTTTGTACTAGGAATTGAATCCTGAAATTTTTTATTTCTGAGCAACATTCTCAGTCCTTTTAAATTTTTTTTTCTTAATTTTTTAAGATAGGGGCTCCCTAAGTTGTTGAAGCTGGCCTTGAACTTTTGATCCTTCCACCTCAGCCTCTCTAGTTGCTGGGATTATAGGCATTGGCTGGACAATTTAGATTAAGATTAAAATTCATATTCAGTTGGATAATCCTACAACTCTCCTGAATATGATACTGCTAAATTAGGCTGGAAGGTTGCTGAGTGTTCAAAGCAACTTTGAGTTTTTTTTTTCCTTTTCAGAAGAAAACATTTTTTAAAGCAAAAAGGTGCCCATCTAGAGTATGCCAATAGTACTAATATGCAAATTTGTCTCATTCTTATCTAAACTCATTAATACTCAGAAAATTTTAACAAAGCAGAAATTAGGAATCTAGTCAGTGAAAGACTAAGCTTTGAGATTTATATGTATACATGAACTTAAATAAGATTGATTCTAAAACAGTGAATTAAAATTGCATTATAAAGCTGGGGTGTGATGGAGCACCTCTATAATCCTAATGATTTAGGAGGCTAAAGCAAGAGGATCCTAAGTTTGAGGTCAGCCTCAGCAATTTAAGGAGACACTGTTTCAAAAATAAAACTGGCGATTGTAGCTCAGTGGTAAAGCACTCCTGGGTTCAATCCCCGATATCAAAAACAAACAAAATAACTGCATTACATGTAGTTGTTGAAAGTTTGCAGCTAGCAAACTTAGGAGAACATTAAGAATACAAGTTGCAGGTGGGCAGGGCTCAGTCATCAATTCAGTATTCAAGTGGAGAGCTGTGAAAACAGGAAGGTTGATCAGGGATTTGTCATGAATTGCTCCGGTATGTTCCCGTGAGGCCACGCATTTAGGTTTTATTCGCTGTATCTCAAGCATCAGGACAGTGACTGGAGTATAAGACA